TATATTTGTCTTGATGTAATTTTCCAGAAATAGAGTGTGCAGCATAGATAAATAGCTGAACTCTGTGTCTAAGAACCATTATTTTCCACCATAACTTTATTGTATAAAATAGTGAGTGTTCTAAATAGAAAGACCAGACATAATTGTATTCTGTATGTAAATACTTTTGAAATGTCAGAAAAAATGTCCCTTTGAAATATAGACATGTGATGAGATTTTAATATAGTTTAACTTGTGAGAATACAGTAATAATATATAGTTGGAAAATGTTTTTCACCTATCAGCATCAGCTTATAGATAAGCATAATGATCTATAGTGGCTGAGAGAATAAAACTTGAAATAGATTTTTTGCAGATGATGTTCAAGATATTGGAGAAAGAACACACCATAACACTACTTTAAACACTTTTGTGGTTGAATGAAGCACAAATAGGTCGATTACCCAATTTGAGTGGGGAAGAAAAAATTTCATTTAGAGGTAGTGGAATATTATAATGTACCATAGAGTTTCTTGTTGTGTGTTGTGTGTGCTATATGCTGCATATGCATAGGGAATGTGTATATGTGTGGTTAATTAACCTGATTATCTAAGTGTGCACACCCAAGTACATAGGCATAGATGTACTTATGTACATATGCATAGATGTAGAGAGTAAGATGTTGATTATATAGCATCCTCAATTCATCTTTGCTTCATTATTTGGAGACAGTATCTCTCACTAAACCAAAAGATCTCATCACATGTTAGGCAGGCAAGCACGTGAACAGGAATCCACCTGTATCCATTCCACAACACTACAATTACTAGTATATAGACAAGCTTAAAGAGGGTTCTGGAAAATCAGATTTCGATAGTTTTCAGGGACAGCACCCTTATCCAGTGAGGCTTCTTCTCCAGATCTCATATATTGTATATTTTGAAGAAAACAAGTTGAAACAAAACTATCTCTCTGTGATAAAAACAATACAGAAATTATTTTAGACATTGTGAATAAAAGTAATTTGATTACCAGGCTAAATCGTCTAAGGAGCAAAGGACATATCCTTCTCTCTCTTCAGCTCTAGCAATAGACTCCTCTGTATGTTATGAAAACTACAGGAAGGATTCTATTATTTATTAATGTATTGTGCATCTCTATTTTGGTTTATTAACGATAACCTCATTCTCTTCTATAATATAATAATATATGCAATAAATAGTTATTCCTTAAGGATACTGAGATAATTATAAAATGAATTAACAAAATGTTAAAATAAATGTTCAATATTGGCATCAAATGTGATTTCTGAGTCTATAGATTACAATGGACAAGAAAATAAGGCTTTAAGGATAGTCAGTGAGTGTAGGCACATGAAGGTGGGCCTAGGCACTATCACAAAGGATATGACAGACTCTGAAGATTCCCTATGTAAGACCTCACCCTCCCTGTGGAGCAGAAAGGTTATGTAATATGTAGGATTTTAGTTGGGGGGGCAGGGGAGAAAGGGAGGGAGAGGGAACTGGGATTGAAGTGTAAAACAATCTTGTTTCTAATTCAAATAAAAAATGGAAAAAAGAAAGTCAGGATTCAAGTTTATATAAAAGTTTCACAATTACAAACACTTCAGCTTTATTAATTAAAGTAGAAAATGTCAAATTCATGAGTAACATATTCTACAGAAGTTTATAAATTACAAGCAAATAATGTGAGGGTGTAATTGGGATATCTAAGAGATAAAGGATATTATCAACCCTTCCCTTATGAATTATGACAAAGCCTAAGACAAATGTACACAGCATGGGAAAGCATCACATTTCTCTGATGTGCATTTTTCGCATAAGGTTTGGACATAGAGTTTAGATGAACATATATATGCTAGAATCAATCCCCTTACTTGTGAATCTGAAAATACTCAGCACAGCAGATGACTGCATCAAGGAAATTCTGAAAGCCTTTAGGATCACTTCATATTTTGATAAACTTCTGTGCTGGCTATGAGAAGGTATTTCATCACACTAAAATAATGGCAGTCCAAAATTTTCATATTTGTTCTTAGTGAAGGGGTTTTCTGATGTAGTTTCCTATGGGTAGGCAACAGAAGATTTCTGACAGGAGATATACAACAGATCAAGCATTCAAAAGGCAAACTTCCTGAAAGGTGAAAATGTTAGATATTCATGTTTCATATTCAATGAGAAAATTGTTCAGAAAATACAAATTATTAATAAGTCACAGAAATACTACTATAACAAGAATCCAATTTGAGAAATGTTTCTGGCATATATTCTTTAAAGTCAGGGGATAATGGAAAATGAATGGTAAGAGATTTCTTTTATGAGAAACCAGTCCTAAGAGACCCATCACTTGTTAGGTAGCATATGTTGTGTTAAAGTTTTGAACTAGAGAATATTAAAAGGGGGATGGTTCTATGTGTTGGTCAACATGACAAATTAAGAGATATTTAAGAATGGTGAAATATCCCTGTGGGATGGGTGTTCCAAAGAGAATTAATATGTGAGACAGTGACAAGCCTCACTGTAGACATACTTTACAGCAAAAGAGGTGCAATAAAAAGAAAAACAGCCAAACGTGTGTCTTCTTTGCATATTCTTCATGGGAAAGTGTGTTTATCTCTGCTGCAAGCATCTTTCATTGTCATAAGACTCCCTCATCTTTGTTTTTCAATGTGAACTCAATACCAGTGATTTTGCAGTATCTTCAAGAACTTAATCACCAGATTATAATGCTGCAAAACCCGCCTCCTTTGATTGAGTTCCTGAAGTTTTTGACTCATCAGTGTGTAGATAATTTTTAGATATTGTTAGACTATCTAGGCCTCATAAACTAAACCAATAAATCCTCCATATATCTTTGTCTCTCTACATCTCCCTCTCCCTATCTCTCCTTCTCCATCTCTTTCTGTCTCTCTCTCTGGATTTTACTGATTCTTTTCCTCTAGAAAAATACTGACTAATTAGGCAACTCTCAAAATATATGTCAATAGATTAAAAATTCATTTGACTGCAAGTTATCCTCTCTGAAATACTAGGTAATTGGAAACAGGAGGTAATAAAATAGTCAAATTGACAATGAAGTTTACATATATCAGTAAGCACACTCTCCTATATTCTATGCAGTTATTCTGTTCTTCATCTTGCTTTGTATTTTGCAGTACATGAAAACCACTCTCAGTTCTTCTCAACGTAAGGACTGTGAAATTGGTATATCCTATGTATTAACAGACAGTAGTATCATAGTATTGAGATTTTAATAAAAAGGGCATATTTACTTACTCATTTGCATTTTCATAAAGTTCAATAAAAGCCAAAATAAAAACTTTCACCACTAGCAAGCTGTACAGTATCATGAAATAACATATATGAAATCCCTGTCTTAGAATTGCAGAGGTCGGGAGTGAAATGTAACCTAGAGGAATTCTCTATTGCATCAATTCTGCTTCTGTGATAGCCATATAGCTTTAATTACTGTGCAGGTATTTGCTCATGCTACAAAGTCTGGTAAAGCATCAACTTGGGAATACATTTGTGAGAATGTATCAAAAGATGATTAACTGAAAGGAGTCCCACGTGAATGTGCATAGCACTATATCATGGGCTGGAGTGAGACACTGTAAAGGCAGTAAAGTGTGACAAACACTCCAGTACCAGAGTTCCTCCTTATTCTCAGATTGCCATGACATAAACTGTTCTTATTGTACCATGCCTTTCTTGTCATGATAGACCAAACTTTTGAAACCAAAGACAAACCAAGCTCAGCATTTTTGCCTTTGTTTCATGCTGCACATATTGTGTCCTGGGACCCTGGGAAGTAGCAACAAGAGAATGAAGTAAACACAGACAAATTGACATGCAGAGTAGTGGAGATGGGTAGTTTGGGGTTCTGTACTGCTTCTACAGCAACTTGGAATATCAATGGAGTCCTTAGGTAGAATACTGACTGAGTAATGAGTTTTGGAAGGACATAACTGTAGGCTAGCAGTCTCTGGATGTAACATCTGGGAGGAGATCACCACAGTGACTACACTGATCAATTATCCATAAACACTCATACTCTGACTCTTAAGGAAATATTTTCCATTTTACATGAGTCTGGACCATACAGGTAGGGACTTTTATCAGGGAAAAATTTGATCACAGCCACACAAACTTTAGTAATGTAACTCTGTTTTGTAGACCATGGTAGAATGATTTGTAAACAAATATGGCACATGATTGAGTTATGTTATAACTGAATGTATATTAAAATATTTTAGTTGTTTATATGATGCAACAAAGTTACCAAATTTTTTTTATTAAAATATTTTAGTTGTTTATATGATGCAACAAAGTTACCAAATTTTGTGTTAGGAACTATCAGCTGTGGTGTAAACACAATTCTGCATACAAACATATATGAATGGAAGATTATTAAAAGGTTGTGATTTGAGGTGCTAGGTCAATGTTTATATGACAACATATAACTTTTGCAGTTTATTCTGCAATAAACACAAATTTAGGAAATGACTATAAATGCTCACATAAAGGAATATCATCAAATTATTATTGTTTTGAACTGGAAAATAGTCCTGTTAATCTATCCAGTGATTTTTAGCATTAATTTCTTTAGCAATCACTTTTAACTTAAAGAATATACCATGATAATGCAAGCAATTTATTAAATATCTATTATTTTTCATTCAGATTTAAAGTAATTGGACAATATACTATTCAATGTTTCCATTTAAATTTTATTTTTTTTTAAAGAAACAGCCTTTTGATAATTTTAAAATTCACATAGTATATTCCAAATACTTTTTATTAACCTTTTTATTTTATGTGTATCATGGTTTGACCACACATGTATGTTTATTCAACACTTGTGTGCCTGGTACCAAAGGAAGAGAGAAGAAGGCATCAGAACCCCAAGGTCTAGAGTTTGGTTTAGAAATCAAACCCTGGGGTGTATGGGAGAACAGCTACACCACAACCCACTGATACTCATTGATTTGCCCCACCCAGGTAGATGGATTGCACTGAGAAACATACCACTCATTTTTTCTGGTGCCTTTAATTTGCAAGGTAGGCATTAATTTGTGCTCATTCTCTATAATTCTGTATTGTTTTTGCTGGGTCACATTAGAAAGAGCAATGGTCACCTTACTTATACAGAAAGCCATGATAAGATAATTTCCTTTGGTTATATTTTGAAGTACTAAAGAGAACAAAATAGGATGGTAAGTGGTGCATTTTTGCAATGACAGATCCATTTAAAATAAAAAAAAAAACAATGCTACTTTGTGTTTATCACCCATAGGTCAAATGTGCAGTGTGTGGTGGTGGTGGTGGTGGTGGTGGTGCATGTGTGTACATGCATGTTTTTCTTTCTAAGAATACAAAGGAGTTTAACACATCCTTTCAGGTAATCATGGATAAGAAGACTCGTGGAGATTAATCAAGGTCATAGTAGTACCAGTAGTACTAGTACTAGTAATAATAATAATAGTAAGGTTCTTTTCAATCTTTTATACATCTTGCAAAGTTAATGTTCTATATCTAATGGTTTCTGGCAGGTGCACGCATATGGACTGTTTTGCTCTCATCTCTATGTATTCTTCATTTCAAATACTTCTACATATAAATCCTCATTATCCACAGCGCTACAGATTCTCAGCAGGGTAGTAGGGATGGCTGTCTTATTTCCACAACAGCTTCTCTTCATTTCTCCATCCAGAACAGAGTGATGGAATCAAAGCGTTGTCCTACTGGCTCATTTTCATCTTAATTTACACTGCTCGCCTGTAAACTTTCATTGACAGTGGCGAGCACCTATTTCACTTTATTTCAGTTGAGCCCTCAGGGATGAGACACAAGTTGGTTTTATGTCTGTTATTCAGGTAAACATCATGAAGATAGTTGTATTGAAACAGACACATGGTCAGAGTTGAGACGTGGAGCTGCAGATATCTAGAGCATTTTCAGCTGCCCCTGGATATATTTCAAAACCCATGGGTTTTGTTGATGGATTGGATGTGAAGTGTCAGAGCAAGCATGGAGTGAAAAATAACTCAAGGCTCTGAGAAATCTCCCCCTGTGGAACATATGGGGTTGATTTTTAGAACGAAGAAAAACGCTGTCATTTACACATCACTAATCTAAATGTGCCTCTTTTTGCTTTTGTGTTTTTTATAAATTTTTCCTAGAATTATAAGGTAAAATTTACAACAACAATAACAAGACTAACACATCTGTTTATGAAGTACATGATTTGTTTTAAATGGCAGAATGTATATTTTTATGAGACCTAGAGGCCAAATTGAAAATAAGTCAATGAATTTAGGTGAGACCTGTAATCACAAAACTCTGAACAAATCAAGAACAAGGGTGAAAACCTGATGTTTGTGAGGAAAACTCAACAAAAATCCTAGCATAGAGACTGTCAAAAATATCAAAATGGGTATTTCTTAAAGAAATTGTCTCAAGATAAAAGTATGTTAATTAGGATAAAGTGATACAAATGAGACAGCAGAATATATTTTGCAATGGTTATGCCAAGAAGTTTCAAAGTGTTTTAAGTTGTTTCCTAAAGTATAATGAATCTGCAAATTTTAAATTGACTAGAATATTTTTCTTAGTTGAGTTCTAACACAAGATAGCATCCATTCTTCATGACTATAGATAGAATTTATGTATGATTTGAATACAATATAGTACCAGTGATATTCTAAAACAAGCATTTGAAAATACTTTAAAATAATTAATAATTCCTTTGGATCACTATGTAATATAATTATTTGTGTTTACCTTTGGCACATTGCTAAAGAATCAAACAAAGAGATGGTGTTGTAGTTCAATTGGTAGAGTCCTGGTCTAGTAGGATGAATGCTGAATGTGACCCTTCACACTCTATTTAATGGAGATTTTGGTGCATACCTGTAATCATATATAGGAAGTAAAGGAGAACAACTAGAATTTCTAGGTCATCAAAAGCAGCATTGCAGTCAGTATAATAAGAACCCAGAGAAAGACTATGGGGTTTAAGCTTCAAACTGAGGATCAGAGAAACAAAGCAGCCAGCCACTAGCTTTTACCTCTATGTCAGACTGATAGGGCTGTCCTGTCGTCATTGTGGCTGGAGAATAATTCTCTGAGACTGACTACAGAAAGCCCTGCTCCTGTCTTATATACCTCTCTAGAGCTGGGATTAAATGTGTGGGATCCCAAGTGCTGAGATCTCCTTTGTGTGAGCTGTTTTGCTTTTAGACTGATTCATTATATTGTACCCCTGAGTGGCTTTGAACTCAGAGATATCCATCTGCCGTTATCTCCTGAGTCCTGGAATTAAAGGTGTGTATGACCACTGTCCAGCTTCTACAGCTAAGTAGTATGGCTTGTGGAATTAAAGGTGTGGAAAACCATTGCCTGGCTATAGGGATGTGGCTAGCTTTGCATCTTGCATTTTGTGACTTTATTAAATCATAAAAAACATATCACCACACTGAATAGTGAATATGAGGATTGCCTTTTTAAATCATCAATGTGAATAGAATCATCAAATCTATATGAATGATGATATGTGCACAATCAATAACACATGTAGAGTAATTCTTTTTGCAACAATGACTTAGTTCAGTTCTACTATACTCAATTCTATATAAACAGAAACTATCATCAGTAAAGAAGTATGCAAAAATGTATAAAGTCAATAAATGGCACTGTCAAGTTTGAATGTAGTTATTCTAAACTCAAGAAAAAATTCTTGGTGCTAATGAACAACATAAGACTGGAAAGTTCCAACAAACATCATTACTACTAAGGGCAAATAGTGCTTTCTCCTTATAGCTAGTATTTGACTATTGACTACTAGCCAAATTTCTCCTTTTGTTTTCTATATCATTTTATTAAATTTATATATGACCACATCACACATTTGACTTTATACAATATTAAGAAATAGTAATGATCAGAGTTCACTTTTATTACATGTTTATTCGCACTATTGCTTAGTTCACACCAAATAAGATGAGAGTATTGAAATGTTGTACAGTACTCTTCACTCACTATCTGAAATCTTAATTGTAAGTGCTGCATAAGACAAGGAATATTTGAAAAAGACCTTCAAGTATTTTATCTAAAACCAAACATCTCAAATAGTCATTAGGAGCCACATAGTGTACAAAATTGTTGCTAATTTACTAATTGACACAAATAAAACACAAACATAAAACAAATAATAAGAAATCTTTGGGGGCTGGAGAGATGGCCCCTTGGTTAAGAACACTAGCTGCTCTTCCAGAGGTCCTGATTTCAATTCCCAGAAACCACATGGTGGCTCACAACCACCGGTAATGAGATCTTGTGCCCTCTTCTGGCTTGCAGGCTTACATGCAGACAGAACACTGTATATAATAAATAATTACATCTTTTTTTAAGGCAGGTTGTGGTGATGCGTTCATTTAATTTCAGCACTCAGAGAAAGAGGCAGGAGGATCTCCGTAAGTTTGCAACCAAAGTGATCTACTGAGCTAGTTCCAGGACAGCCAAGCCTACATAGAGAAACCCTGGCTAGAAAAACCAAAATCAAAAAAGGAAGAAAGAAAGAAAGGGAGAGAGGGAGGGAGGAAGGGATAAAGAAGGAAGAAAAGAAAGAAAGAAAGAAAGAAAGAAAGAAAGAAAGAAAGAAAGAAAGAACTCTTCCAGAAAACTTTCTAGAAATACAAGAAATCACAGAATATGTACCTCAGTGGTTCTCAATCATTGGGTCATAACACATTCAGGGGTGACATATCAGTGATTCTGCATATCACACATTCATATTTTGACACATAGCGGTAGCAAAATTACAATTATAAAGTAGCAATGAAAATAGACTATGGTTGTGCGTCACCATCAGGAACTATAGTAAAGGGTGCCAGCATTAGGAAATTTGAGAATCACAGATTTAGAGGGTTTCTAAAACAAAATGGTGGATATGTTTTTACTTTGAGAAAGAGAGAAAACATGAATATATGGGTATATTGCAAAAATTAGGAAGAGAAAATATATTTCTCATGTAAATTTATGTCTATGAAATAAAATATATAACATACATATGCATTAAGCCCCATATCACCATACAGTTTATAAACCGACAATTATCTCTCTGAAAATAATCCAGTATTACAACAATCTAAAATTTCTTATCAACTGACAATCTCCATGATTTTGTCTTGCAGATTCAGCAGCTTTGCAGAGTTCAATGGCATCCTATGATCCCAGAGAAAAGTGAGGTTAGCAAACTGGAAACTCATTGAGTTTTAAGAGGGGAGGAAGGGTGAAACAGACCGGCAGTGTTTCAAAATGACAGGATGGTGTAAATCTGATCTCTCAGCTCTGGATACAGATTTGCCATGGATAAAATATAGACCTAGAGAGATGCCTAGAGTCATGTTTTGAAATAGAACCCCCATTCATTTGTGTTTTTCCTTGTGTTTTTCTTAGACAATTAAAGAAAGGCAATAACCTCAAATTGTTATTCATTCTGCAGTTGTCTATCTTGGTGCTGTGTGACTATTTTGATACTCATTAATTTAATGTAACATTCATTTCAGGAAGAGAAACATCTTTGTAATTTTTCAAAACAAAAATATGTACCTATATATGCTTAGGGACTATATTCAAATTCTCTTTCTCATCTTCATAATCTATAGTTAGCAAATAAGAAAAGTAAAGTACAATATTTTATTTGTGGACTGATTTGAAATTATAAATTTTATTAATGTCACATACAGCATAGATACATTTCTACTTCAGTATGTTGGACTAAAGTGCTCAAAACTATAATATTAAATGGGCAAAGTTTTGTATATTGCAAGATACCCTGTTAGAAAATGTGTTAGATTCATTTAATTTATAATAAAATGGTTATATGAAAATAATAAAATTCATTATATATTTTATTTCATAGATTATAAAATGTTAATTTTTCATAAAGTGTTTATTTGTATGTTTGAGTGCATGTACCCACCGATGCCAGAGGCTGTAGATGCCCTGAGATGTAGTTAGAGTTAGGAGTGGACTGTGCACTGTTTGATCTGGGTGCTGGAACAAAAGTGTGTTCTACTACATGGACAACATGAATCCTTTTTGTTAGTGTTGTTTATTTTTCTATTACAACTGAATTACTTGTTTCTCCATTCTCTTTCCTTCCTCCATGCAATTCCATATGCCCTCCACATTCAATTTCAATTTCATGACCTCTGTTTT